TGATAAATTGTTGATTAATAAAAATGATAAATTCCTTATTATTATACTTCTAAGCGTAATAAATTCATATTTTAATATTTCCAAAACTATTATATTTTATTTAACTACTTTAATTTTTCCATATAATTTTTTATAAAGAATGAAAAATCGAAAAAATACTTAAGCTAAATGTAAACGTAACGACATACTGTACTGTACATACTTAATGAATAGAATTATGAGTATTAATAGCTCATTATATTGCTTAATATCTTATATCCAGGTCTATGATTAAAATAGCATTATGACTCATTATAAAGGTATTATAGTTAAATATTATACTTTTCAGTTATGTACAGCATATTAAAATATCAATGTAAGTTTTTTCAGATTGCTTAAATATATAACTGATGTATAATATAATTTTAAAAGTTTATCGAAATATCGAACTAATTATCCATTCGTTAAAATAACTTAATATTAACACAAAAATGCATTTAATACCAAAACTGTTGATATATTTAACTAGTATAATTTTTGTAGAACCGTAAAATAAAANTCTGTTTTTAATATTTTAGAACAGTGTGTCATAATGGAAATTTTTTATTTTGTATTAGTAATTTGCTAGATAAATTTTAAACAAGTAATATTATAACGGAAAATTTCAAATAATACAATGTAAAAGTTATTTTTTATGAATATCTCGTTATGCAAAGGATGACTTTAAATACAGTATTATGTTTGTACTGTACAGTACATAGAGATAAAGTATATTTGTTGCATATAATAGAATTGATAAACACCGTATATTCATTTCTTAATAATAGTTATTTCAATACAACAGAATAGTAGGCGTATATACAGTATGTTAATTATTTTCTTAAAATAATAAAGAATTCGCAGAAAATTTCGATTTATATATAATTTAAAAAATCTATATAATTATCTTTAAATCTTTTTACAAATGTGCGATTAAACGAAAAGAAAAACTACAAACAGTAGTAATTCAAAAACACAATTATTTGAAAATCCAATTTTCAAGTGATAAATGTTAAATGACAAAATTTATAATTTACAGATTTAAAATTTCCAATTAATGAAATATTACTAAATTTTTGCATAAAGTTATAAAAATGTATTCAAGAAAACCTTGAGTCGTATTGCCTAGAGCCTATATAATTCAAGATTTATATAATTAACCTATAATAAATCTTTCAGTGTTTATTTCGTAACTATTCATTACACTGTTTTAATTTCTTTATACAATACGCAGAATGTTTATCCTTTACAAGGAGAAATTATTTTAGGAAAAACTTCGATATTAAGATCATAAATTATAAATTTCAGCATTTTAGAAAGTAGAAAATATTTTACGAAAACGATTTCTATTCAATAACGCTTTATAATGAGATTTATTTATTTTTAAAACTATCAATTATAAAAAAAAGGTAATAAAGATTATTATTTTAAAAATAATAAACAGTAATTAAATAAAATTACAATAAAATCACTTAAAGAAGGCTTTAAAAAACAATACTTACTAAGAGAGGAAACAGTTGATTCCAATTCGATTCTACGCGTGCTATAAAATTAGACATATTTGAGTTGATTATATAAGAAAATAACTATTTGATGGAAAATTTCCATTATTTCGTAAATATATTTCTCTTTTAATTTTTATATTGCACTAAAAAACATGATGACGAATGATCGCTATCTTAAAACTGAATACTTGTACCATATAGGACAGGACGTTTCAATTCCATACCATTCTTGCAAAATTCATTTAAAATTTTTCTAAAAAGATTAACAAATTAAAACTAAAAGTGTTTATGATGTTTGTTGAAAACTAACATGTATAAGTATATAAAATTTTTCTATTTGAAGGCTTCTTAAGCTCGGACGTCTCAATTTATGTAAGCGCTTATTTTTCTTATAAAATAATCTATCATTGAGCGTATTATATGCTATACATTGTTGAAAAAAGTTGTATTATGATTACATTAAACTTTTTATTCAAATTAAAAGTCAGTTTCTAATAAGTAAATTTTTTTATCTTATTGTTAAATGTAAGAATTTTTCATTGTTTCTTGTGTCATATTTTATATAACTTACTGGTGTTATAAATACATTTTTTTATACATAAAAATTGTTTTATGATACTAAATTTTATATCTTAACACTTTTATAATGATAAAAATTAAATAAATATAATATTAATTGGTGATATATCGTTTAATATATAATATAATATTTACTATATATTAATTATCTTGATAATATGATTGAGTATCTTGTCAAAATTTTATAGGTTAGAACATTGTTAGGATTTTATAAGCTCTTTATATACTTAATGAATAGAATTATGAGTATTAATAGCTCATTATATTGCTTAATATCTTATATCCAGGTCTATGATTAAAATAGCATTATGACTCATTATAAAGGTATTATAGTTAAATATTATACTTTTCAGTTATGTACAGCATATTAAAATGTCAATGTAAGTTTTTTCAGATTGCTTAANTTAAACTGCAAAAAAAAAAAAAATTATACTATACGCAATTGTACTAACTCTAAAGGCAAGTTATCGAAAAACAGAACAATAATTTCCTCTCTTTATGAAGATACCGTGGAACCCCTGGGGCGCTGGGTCCGATTGGGCCATTAGATCCAGTGCCTAGCGCTTAAGCTTAAAAGCTGACCGTAATTATATCTATCATTTATTTATTTCAGATATATCGTTCATGTAATAAGATGTTTTTAAAAAAATAATGAATAAGACCCACTTATTATACTGAAAGAACTACTGAGAAATGAGATTCATTAGTCAAATATCAAGGGCATTGATATTGACTAACGAATGCTAGTTATAATGTCTGGTCTTGTTACTAACTTGTAAGGCGGGAAGGCCAATGACCTAAATATTCAAGATATTTTGACGAATTTATGTCTGTATGATCATATATTTAATTTCAAAGTTTAATTAATTTTTGATAGTCCAAATATTTCAAAAGATTTGATCAAGAATAGTTTTAGAATATTTTTTCAATTTCCATCTGTTTGCACTATACAATTACATATAGCTCGCAAGACATTAAAATTTTGATATAATTTGTTGTATATTTTTTATATACAAATATAATTTTAATTGTGATAAATAAGCCGTTCTAAAATAGTTCAAGAACTAAAATAGTCAAAAATAGTTTTTTTTTTCTTCAGTTTTTTCACTCTTGTAGAATCATTAACAATTAAACAACATATTAAATAGATAAATAAATCTTATATTTAAACAAAATTCATTTATATTAATGATTTTACAGGAAAGCCATAAAATCTCGTCACATATATGTATTCATCTAATATTAAATATTTTCATTTTATTTTATTATTATTATTTTTTAATATTTTCAGATTTAGCTGACTGGCGTAATTGCATTATTGAAAATGATAGGAAACATACTGTGAGTGTTATTTCTTATTCGTACAAATATCACATGATTTGTATTTATTACGTTTATATAATGTTCTGAGACTTTACGGTCACTTTGTACGTACGTAATTTCGTGATTACACTACGTATGAACTTTAATCGCTATTCGCTTACTTTGGAGATAAATATTTATTATAATTATATTTTTATTTATTGACCATAAAGAATATTTATATAGTAATTTTCATATGCATCGAATTTATATCAAAATATTTGATACACTAAAAACAATATTACAATCAAAAATTAGGTAGTAAACAAATTCTTCTAATAACACTAATTTCCTTGTGAAATAAATAATTATTTTTTAGGATAAAATGTTGATACTAATAATTGATAATTCTAAGTAATCAAAGGAATTATTTGACTTCACATATTTGATCTTTAAATGAGAAAACAGCGCATTCCCTTTACGTTTATACACAAAATTCTATCTTTCTGTTTAAAAGGCGAAAGAAGATTTATTTGATCTAAGCTAATATCAACTAAATTAGAAAACTGAAATTTTATAGACGAATTTAGAGTCTCGTATAATTTATCTCTTTATAGAAGAATTTAGAACTATTCTTCTAAACAACGTCAATTTATCTGGACGGAAGTAGAGATACATATTTGCATGAAGATAGCAATTGAATTTTTCAAGGAATTCGATGAAAGTCTTTCCTTAAAAAACTTCAAAAATATTTTAAATATAAATCTAATGAAAGAAATATTTGTCTAAATCGTAACGTGATCATCTAGATGCTGTCGTGCCTATAATTTGGCTATGGGAAGGCTGCGGATACATCTTAATTAATAAAAAATCATCTCTGTTAGGTGGCGTTGATTGAAGCACGAGGTGTGCTTACCTTTAATGTAGAGCTTGTTAATTAAACCCTTTTAATTAGAAATAAAGCTGTTTTGTTGTCAAAGGATTGCGATAATTGTGAATAGCATGAGAAATTAACTCGACAGATGCTACATATCAGCTTATACAATACAAATACTCTACACAAATGTAAAGAGATAAGAATTAAAAAAAAAATACGAATGATAATCGAACAATTCAATGGAAAAGTAGTACTTGTAACAAAAAATTTAATTTGAATATGTCGTGATAAAATTAANTAACATAATTTTGTTACATTCCCTGAACTGTTCAGTTCATTATTATTAATTTGCTCTTTGATGTTTTTTATGTGCAAAAAAAAACAAAAATAATAATTAACATTTCATTATCAGAATTGTCGTATTTTCCTGAAATATTTCAAACGTAAATTGCTACATAATCTTAAAATAAGCTATTAATTAATAACAATAAAATTTATTAAGTAGTTTCTCTATCAGCAATGATGAATATGCTAGAAATTCTAACTCGTCATGTAATTAAAAATCACATAAAATTATATAAAAATTTAAATTTGTCAATTATTTTTATTTTATAAAAATATATGAACATTTTATAAAGCATGAGGTATTTATATTTAATATTCCAAACGTATTTTCAGTAATAAATACCTTAAAAACTATACAGAAACAAAATTATGCCATAAAAATGTCTTAATAAGGAACATGATACTTTTTAATATTTCATTTAATGATTTTTTAAACATAAAAATAATAAAATAAGTACATTCAATAATTATTATATAATAAATATATATAAAAGTAAGTTGAACCGACCCCAGTATTTACATTCAATTATCGAAAGACATTTTTTCCCCATTGATTGATTATTTCACATACACGTAAAACTTATTATAAGAGAACAACAGGGTCAGTTCAATTTTTTCCCCCATATTAATATTTAAAAATATTCTAAATGTAAATCTCGCATTAAAAAAAATAGAAACCCGCATCTTCTAGAATAGGAAATATCATATGATTGGGATTCTTCAGGAAATGAAAAATAATGAAATTTCATTAAAAAAAATAACAGAGTAATCCGTCATTTTAAGTGATAGGATATGTATGTTTCAGAATGATCACGCATCATCTGAATGACACAGAAATAAAATTCATGATTAATGATAATATGTAAAATAAACCGTCATTAAACTGACGATTTTAGATAATATTTCCCTCAAATTTTCACGAAATGCTTTGAGAGAATATATATATGGAATAGTTGTTATTGAATATTGAGGTGAACAATTAGACTGATGATAATTTTTCTTGTTTCACGTGATCCATCATAAAAGCAACAGTTTCTTCATTGCTAGTGACATGTTCGCAAGCAAGATGACCTAAAACATAAAAAGATAAATAAATAAATAAATAAATAAAAAGATACTTGTAAATTTAAGCAAGAAAGAGTAACTAACCATTCTTTTTCTCGAAATCATCGTTGTCATCTGTTTTCTTCAAGCAGTTACGTTTATATATTTGATACGAAGCGCAACATACCGTCACAGTTGTCAATAACGGTATGGAATAAAGCCAGGGGAAAGCAAGGATATCTTTTTGAAGCTATAAAAAAAAATAAATAAATAAATATAAATTGTTAAAATTAAGAGATATGTTAGAAAATATGTAAACTTTATTATACCTTGAGAGGAAATGATAAAGAAATAACAGTAAGGGCCGTGCCAATATTCTGAATGCTGCATTCGATGGCGATCGTTTTTCTTACACAACTTGGTTGTCTGAAAAGTGCAGCCAGACCGTAACCAAGAAGCAAACCCAAACTGGGCAAAGTAAATAGTGCAACGTAAAATTGCCATCCGATTCCGTCGAATATATCAGGAAATACGATTAGTTCCATAGTTTGACAGATAAAAATAATGGCGAATCCCGCATAACTGCCGATCTGTAAAGTATAAAGAGATATTTATGTCATTTATTTGTCATAAATTTAGTAATGTCGGAAGTTATTATTTTAGAGACACAATGCGTAGCGATTATTCTAATCGTACCAAGCGGTATCACTAACACAGGTCACGTGACAATGAACAATAACACAGGCGACCTTCGTCGGGGAAATGCACGGAAAATAGTTCCTTTCTCTCACACTAGTAGCGCTAATAGTAACAAAGGTTTTTAATAAACGGGTCAGGGTTAAAACTTTCTCAAAAATGCTAAAAATAAATTAATAAATAATTTTATATTATAAACAAATTATTTAATTTACTTATTTTTCCATTTTGATAATATCTTACTACACAATATTAAAAATTACGTGCTAAAACCGTTTTGGGTTTTAAATCACGGGTGTCGCCATCTTTTGAATAATTAATCAACTAAAAATATCTGAATATTCATTATCTACACTTGAAGACAAATGTTTAAATTGAGTTTCCTAATATTTATGAATATAAACCTATTGTTAGAGGTAAAATATGTAAACGAATTGTCCTTCAAAAAAACTGGTTTAATAGCAAGAAATACTCAGGGTGAACTTGATCGTAAGCAATAATTTGGTTTAAATCTTTATAAAATAAAAAAAAATAGTAATAATTTTAAAAATTTGACTAAAATTTATTAATCTGAAAGGGGATTGCTCAATTTGTTTATTCCATTAAATTTGAATTAAATTATCTTAATTCGAATGAATGAAAATTACCTTAGTGACATACGGTGCCATTTTTGGTAATTTCCATCGAAACAACATTCCTGCTGCTACGGGGGTAGTAACGGCGGCCAAAGAAATAGTCATTTTGTCATAAGGAATAACCATTTTGCTAGTTTGCAAGCTGCTACTGTAAAGCCACATGTTAAATGGCATCATTCCCAAAGCCACAATAGTCGAACAGGTGGTCATTGTAACGCTGAAAAAAGGAAAATTTACATTAAAAAATTACATTCATAATCGATATTTGATTACCTGTATTCTATAATGATATTTCTTTTTTTAAATCAAATGTTTTTAGTTCAATTCAATAGCAATGAAAACTGTAAAGATTTTTTCTTTTAATAAATACATTTCTTAATCATGTTCACGGACCTTAAAGGTTATCAATTATTATTTCAAAAATAATTTTCCAATAATAAACATTTACTTAATGCGATAATTAAAGTAAATAAACAACATATAATAAATATATATAAAAGTAAGTTGAACCGACCCCAGTATTTACATTCAATTATCGAAAGACATTTTTTCCCCATTGATTGATTATTTCACATACACGTAAAACTTATTATAAGAGAACAACAGGGTCAGTTCAATTTTTTCCCCCATATTAATATTTAAAAATATTCTAAATGTAAATCTCGCATTAAAAAAAATAGAAACCCGCATCTTCTAGAATAGGAAATATCATATGATTGGGATTCTTCAGGAAATGAAAAATAATGAAATTTCATTAAAAAAA